GTCCTCTACTCTGGTTTAGTGAGGCACATGAAGGTGATGGCTGGCCTGTGTGAAAGACCCTGTGTGACTCCTTTGAGAGAGGGCTTTGTATTTTCTTCTATCTTACTCTTTTCTTTTCTTTTCTTTTCCTTGTTTCATTTTTATTTTTATGTAGATTAGTTTGTTTTTTATACTACAGGCAGTCCACCATGTATGTGGGGTAACATTCCAAGGCAACACACACATTGGTGTATAATTGAAACACCTAATGTCCGGATTTTCCCAGACATTGCCGGGATTTCAGAGGTGAAATTGACATCCAGGGAGAATTTCTGAAAGGCGGCGCTTTGTCCTGGATCTTAGAGAAGTATCAAAAAATTGCAGACATCAGGGTGTGCTGGTTTTTATTTTTTGAAACATGGCAAGCCTGGTTAAAAGAATTCTGAGGGGAGTCTCTAAGAGAAACCAATGTGGCTTTCCATTACCCATTTAGATGCCATCTCCTCAGATGTCAAATATGGAGGGAGAGAGAAAGAAAGAGAGGAAAAAAGAGAGACTAGATAGATAGATATCATACACACACACACATGATGTGTTATATATATATATATATATATATATATATATATATATATATATATAAATACATACTATATATTACATAAAATAATTTATTCATATATATATATATATATATATATATATATATATCTCAGCAAATATAGTCCAGTATTCCTGAGGAATTATTATTATTATTATTGAAAAACACCCACCCCCAATATATTACGGCCAAATCCCCGAGCCCATGCATCCCAGTGAGCAATACAAAACATGTGTTTCTTCCCATCAAGCTCCAAAGAGATTCTCCGGAAGTTGGGATTGTTTCTCTCTCCTGGAATTAACAAAATAACAGTCATTCTTGCTGAATCCCAGTGGATTTCCACCCAGAAACTCAGCAACAAAGAAATCCAGAGCAAAACATTATTGTGATAAATACGCCCTGAACTCTTGCAAGGCGGGGGAGTGAGATACCGGACAGACACTCCGACGTCTGGTCATTTTCCCCAATGTTCTGAATCCGTGGCTGAGACCTATGCATTTGGTGGCCCCTTAATTCTGTACAAAGTTCAAGTTGGGCGAGGGTCTCTTTCTGCCGTCCATGATTTGGGTTTTAGTTTTTTTGCTCCTTCCTCAGGCTGCCACCAAGATGTCCCTGAGGACCAAGTGTCTCTTGACCAGGCCTTTTGAACTCCAGGAAGACTATTACAGGCCAGGAGATCTCATTGTGGGGGGACATTTACGCTTCAGCAGTGCCACACACACAGATCAGTTGTTTAATTTGTCACCCCGAGAACGGGACGTATACGTTTCTAAGTACGTACATGGAAACTCTGGGGAGGGATTTGGGTTGCTCTAATATCATTGTAGACTAGAGGGCTTGTTCCAGGGATCTGCATCCAGGGAGCCAGTGTGGTGTAGTGGTTAAGAGCGGTAGACTCGTAATCTAGTGAACCGGGTTTGCGTCTCCGCTCCTTCACATGCAGCTGCTGGGTGACCTTGGGCCAGTCACATTTCTCTGAAGTCTCTCAGCCCCACTCACCTCACATAGTGTTTGTTGTGGGGGAGGAAGGGAAAGGAGAATGTTAGCCGCTTTGAGACTCCTTCAGGTAGTGATAAAGTGGGATATCAAATCCAAACTCTTCTTCTTCTTCTGCATTAGCGATATTGCTTGTTTCCCAGAATGAAAAACAAACCATAAAACAAAGCTTTACAGCTTGTCTTCACCAGATAAGAATCTGACCCATTGCTTCTTTCAGAGACTTGCATAGTCTACAAAGACTTCCAGAGACTTATAAGACTTATGTTTATTTGGTTCTATGTTTTCAAGAGAATCCATCAAGAGTGCCTATTTTGTGACTTTCAGAGACTTATAAGACTTATGTTTATTTCGCTCTATGTCTTCAAGAGAATCCACCAGGAGTGCACGTTTTGTGACTTTCAGAGACTTATAAGATTTCTGTTTATTGGGTCTGCAGAGAGTACATGTTTCATATATTTCATATTCTATGTTCCGTATAGATTATATAAAGAGTTTATATTGATTTTGCATTGTTGTACTTGGTCATCGTGTTGCCTTGGATATTACTGAGAATTGTTTGCAACACAGGGGTTTAATTGTCTGGTTACTGAAAAGCAAACCATGGCATCTCCAAATAATTGTCCATACGGGCAGGTGCTTCTGTTTATGGTGGTGAAAGTAACGCCAAAGCATCCCCATGAATCATGATGGCAAGGCTGCTAGGCTTGCCAACAGAAAATATTTATTATTATTATTACTATTATTACTATTTATTCTATGTAAACGTACGGGAAAACAATTCTATCTTCTCCTTTCCACTGATCAAAGTGTTGCCCAAGGTTGCCAAGAGCATTCAGAAGTACAGTAAAACAAATTGGCAAACATTAAACTGAACCTGGAGCAGGGCAGATAATTAAAGCAGTCTGCTTCGAATACCAAAATTAAGGGAAAATCTACTTGAACAAAATGAACCTTTGCTGTAATAAAGCAATAAAGGTAAAAGTAAAGGTACCCCTGACTGTTAGGTCCAGTCACGAACGACTCTGGGGTTGCAGCTTTCATCTCGCTTTACTGGCTGAGGGACCCGGCATACAGCTTCTGGGTCATGTGGCCAACATGACTAAACCACTTCTGGAGAACCAGAGCAGCGCATGGAAACGCCGTTTACCTTCCTGCTGGAGCGGTACCTATTTATCTACTTGCACTTTGCTGTGCTTTTGAACTGCTAGGTTGGCAGGAACTGGGAGCTCACCCCGTCACGGGGATTCAAACTGCCAACCTTCTGATCGGCAAGCCCTAGGCTCAGTGGTTTAGGAACACCCCTAGACTTGGAAGTACTAAGCGCTAAATGCACACCAGCTCCAAGCGGTTTCCAAATCTCTCCTCCAACTCCTCCCCAGTGCAGCTTAATTGCACTCTTACACAGAAGTCAGGCAGTGGAAAGCCTGACAAACTGTGCTGTTCTGCCTGCATGGTCTACACCATGCCTTTGCCCTCAAAAGCTGCAGCTTACAGGGAGAGGGAGAATGGACCACCTGAGGCACTGGCACCCCCCTGCATGCACTCTCAAATGCATGTTGTACTGATTGGACAGCTTTAAAGGGAATTGAACAAATTCATGTTCAAGGTCATAAATGGCTGATAATCATGACGGCTGTGTCCACTACTTCTGGTATCGAAGGCAGAGATTTTAAGGCTGCTGCTTACTTTTCTTCTCCTTTCCTGTTGAGCAACAACAGACAGCCATTATTTGTTTGGGTTGCTTTTGTTGTAGATAGCAAGCGGGGGAGAGAGGAATGTGATTGTGTGTAAAAGAGATGATTCTGGCTGGTCACTGATTGTAATAATAATAATAATAATAATAATAATAATAATTTATTATTTATACCCCACACCATCTGGCTGGGTTTCCCCAGCCACTCTGGGCGGATGTAGAAAGAAGAGGCTAGAGAGGTCATAAATTTTGTGTTTTAAAATTTTTATTTTTATATTTCGAAAAAGTTTACAACAAATTACAGTAAATAATCAAATAACTTTGGACTTCTCCTCCACATCTCCATGGTGTCTCCAGCTTCCCAACTAATGCTGCTTATTATAGTTATTCTATACCAGGGGTCAGCAAAGTTTACCTCACCTGGGCCAGTTCAGGGGAGATCCCTCCATGGGCTGGACAAAGCCATGCCGTTTCTTCTTCCTCTTTGGCGATCACTCGTAGCCAAGTAAGATTGTCTTCCATAAACATGGTTTTAACAATGAGTCCGTAAGTGACTGTGGAGGCCAATTCTGGATCCACACGTCCTTCCACAGTTGGGACACTGGTTTCTGGGCGGGAGTCAATCACTGTGTGGATTTGCTAAGCGTGCCTTCCTCCTAGCACGGTTCTCCCTTGCATCCTGAGTTCGAGTGTCTTCAAAGCCCATGACACCTTTGGTAAAGGCTGTTCTCCAATTGGAGCGCTCGCAGGCCAGTGTTACCTAGTTGTCACTGTTTATACTTCATTTTTTTAATATTTGCCTTGAGGGAGTCTTTTGTTGACCACCAGCATTATGCTTTCCATTTTTAATTTCGGAATAGAGTAGTTGCTTTGGAAGAGGATCATCAGGCATCCGCACAACATGACCAGTCCAACAAAGCTGATGTTGAAGAATGTGTGCATGCCGTTAAACACAAGCATCCTATCAAAGTCGCCAGGCTGCTGCAAAAAATTGAAACTGATCCCACAAAATGTGACTTGATGGAGTTTTGTGGCTGCATCAATCACAGCATCTTGCCATCTGGCATCTAATGAAAGAATAATATGCCTTTTAAAAAAAGTATTTCATTAGAAATGTACTGTGCAATCTTATGCAAGTGATATGGGTAGATTAATTGCCTAAATTCAAGCAGTAAATGGGTGAAAATGTTGTTAATTGGATTGAGGCCAATTAGCCACACTTACCTTTCACTCCTCTCGCTCCAGCCAGAAGTCTGCCCTTAATGCTCTATGTGCAAACATTTTGGGGGATTTTTTGCCCCAACCTTTCCCCACCAAAAAAACCCTCACTCTTTAAAGCTGAATTGGGGCAAATGTCAATTTGGGTTTTCTACAGATGGACATTTGCTCCAGTTGATCCTCAAAGAGTTGGTTTTCGTGGGGAAAGATCCAGAGCGTGGATACGGAACTTTAAATTTAATTTAAATTTAATTTAAACCATGTTTCCCTCCGTCTGGAAAGAACGGATGAAGGTAAGTGGGACATGTCCTCTTTCGGGATTTCCTCGCCTCCTCTGACACAACTCTCCTTACAGTCAAGTGTTGAAGACCTACCAGCACATCCTGGCCTTGGCATTCTCTGTCAGTGAGGTCAACAGGGACCCCGTGCTCCTACCCAACACAACACTGGGCTTCCGTATCTATGGTGATCACAGCGATGCAAAGAGGACCTATGAGTCCTGCCTGTCTCTGCTCTCCACGAGGGGGGAAGTGGCTCCCAACTATCAATGCGACAGTCGGGACAAGCTGTTCTCCATCATCGGGGGTCTCAGCTCCAAATCATCAATGCAGATGGCATACCTCTTTGGCATCTTGAAGATTCCACAGGTAAGAGAATTTGTCTGGGGACCCGGGTAGCGCTGTGGTCTAAACCTCTGAGCCTAGGGCTTGCTGATCAGAAGGTTGGCAGTTCAAATCCCCGCGACGGGGTGAGCTCCCGTTGTTCGGTCCCTGCTCTTGCCAGCCTACCAGTTTGAAAGCACAGCAAAGTGCGGTTAATGGGCTAAATTGACGGGAATAAGGACTGACAAAACCCGGAACCAGGAGGAAGGGACGCTGGATGAAGATTGGATCTGTTTATACCTCTTTTTTCTACCATTAGAACTGTTTTATAAAATTGATGAATGATAGAAAAATGTTGGAATGAAATTACTTGGCTTTAGTAAAGATGTTTAAAGAATTATGAAAGAATATTATGATTATGAGAAGTTGGTAAGGATAAGATTTAAGTTTTAAGTTTTAAGGTTTATTCTATTATAGGAAGATAAGGTCAAGGATTTGCTGGGATAATTAATAACTAGGATACAAAGAAAGGGAGGAGGAGGAGGTCTAAGAAAGAAGGTAATGACAGTTAAGGATTTGAAAATAATGAATTTGCTTTTAAATGTTTTTAAAGTTTTGTGATTTTTGCATTCTTCTTTTTTTCTTTTTTTCTGTCATTTTTTCTCATTTGGAATTTTTTCTTATATGGTGGGAAGGGGTTGGGGTTTTTTTTCTATTTTGTCAATTATTTTTATTCTTTGTACTCTCTTCTGCTTCTATTTAATTTTTTTTCTTCTTTGTAACATTCTGAAAATCTCAATAAATATCTTTAACAAAAACAAAAAACGAAAGCACAGCAAAGTGCAAGTAGATAAATAGGTACCACTCCGGCGGGAAGGTAAATATATATAGAATATAGATATATATGAATATCTATATTCATATAGTATACAGTATGCTGTCTATTACTATGCTCTGTATTATGTTCTTAACATAATGCTCCATAAAATATATTATTAATGTGGTACACTGCCCTGTAATCTTTTGATAAACAGCAGTATATAAATCAAATAATTAACAATAATAACAGAAATCAAAAGAAGTGGATTACCAATGTAGGAGCAAATGGTTCATGAAACTGGCAAAATTAGCTGCCAAACTATGAGGGCATAATGACGAAGTGTTTAAGGAAGAAGGGAGACCACTGACTGACAATCTATCAAATTATCACCCATATACGTAGTCACGGGCAGGATTTGAAATATAAGCAGTGGATTACTGAAAGGTTTAATGGTGGTGGGGTTTAGATAATAAAAATGTATGCATTATAAAACAGCTAATAAAAAGGAGTAAAAAAAGCAAACATCAGGAAGGGATGGGAAGTCAAGAAGAGACTTTGGATGTTAAAAAAGATAGTATATGATGATAAATTCTTTGAAACATTTCTGGAGACTTAATAAAAATGTTATTTGGGGGGACCCCAATAATAAAATTACTCCGGTTTTGAGAGAACTGTGCTGGTTGCCTGTTCACATCTAAGTCCAATTCAGTTTGGAGCCTGACCTGGGAAACAAATGCATGAAGGTACTTCAAGTAATTTTCTCTCTCTCCTGCACAGCCCTGGAATCCGTGGGAGGAAAAGTGTATTAGAAATATTTCAAAAATTCTAAATAAATAAATAAATTTTGAATAAAGGCTTTCTCTTTCCTTCAGCTTGGTTATGGTTCATTCAGCCCTGTTGAGAGAGAGATGCTTCCTTCCTTCTTCCGAATCGATCCCAACGAAGTGCCGCAGTACGTCGGGTTGGTCCAACTGCTCCTACATTTCCGATGGAACTGGATTGGCCTCATCACTTCCGATGACGACACTGGTGAAAATTTCATCCAGACTCTGATGCCAATGCTCACGAAGAATGATATTTGTGTGTCCTCGGTAGAAATGATAAATGAACGGCTAATGAAGCGAATAGCAACAAATCTTTTTAAGAAATCTCTTATTAAGTGGCAGAGTAAAGCCATGATTATCTCTGTAGACTACAAGGAAGTAGCCGTGCTACTACATAAACTCGATTTTCTCAGAAAGGATTTCAGGCCCTCACGTGTGAGGGTTTGGATCGCGACAGCCCGTTGGGATTTTGCTGCTCTGGGGGAACAATTGCGTTGGAAGGAACTGGAATTCTTCCACGGTGCTCTGTCCTTCAGAGTCCACACAAGTGATGTCCAGGGGTTTAATAAATTCCTCTTGGCTTTAAATCCAGCCCGGCCTGAGGGAGATGTCTTCCTCCGAAACTGGTGGCAAAAGGCATTTAACTGCTGGTTTCCAATAGCAGGTCAAACGTCTAGAAAGAGAAGGTGTACAGGGAAGGAGAAACTAGAGGACCTGCCACCCTCTGTGTTTGAAACGGGAATGACTGGCCACAGCTATACCATGTACAATGCCATCTACTCCGTGGCACACGCATTACATGCCATGTACTCATTGAGACCCACTCGTGCCATGATGAGGGAAGGCAAGAAACCTCTGGCTATTCAGCCATGGCAGGTAACACATTTCTTTCAATGTGTCTCTCTATTTCCCAAAGTAATGGACCCATTCGTCCTCTAGTGGCTTAGGGCCCTCGTATTTACGGGACCGCTTCTCCTGGTCTGCCCCACAGAGGACCTTAAGGTCCATGAATAACTATAGTTTAGAGGTCCCGGGCCCTAAGGAAGTCAGACCATCCTCCACCAGGCCCAGGGCCTTTTCAGTGATGGCTCCGACCTGGTGGAATGCTCTGTCCCATGAGACTAGAGCCCTTCAGGATTTAACCTCCTCGTCGGGCCTGTAAGGCAGAGCTATTCCGCCTGGTCTTTAATTTGAATTCAGCCTGATCTTTTATTTCCCTTCTCTTTTTTTTTATTAATAATATTTATTAAAGTTTCAAAGAAAAAGGTTACAAAAATAAGAAGAAAAAAGAAAAGAGAAAATACAAAATACAAAATACAGAAAGATAAAAACAATTAAAAACACATCAGTCTTTCCATGTCTTATCTTTCATTTGCTTGTTTCCCTGACCTCCTCACACCTCCCTTTTTTGTATTCCAGTTCAATTAATTAATTCAGCAATTCCCTTCCCTCTTTAATTTTATCTTAATCTTTTATCTTAATATATTATAACTTTAAATTATCACTTGTTAACAATCAATTTTTACATATTCCTTTATAACATTACTGCTAAAAAACCCTTAACTTCAATCCAACATCATTCTAACATTCATCTTTTATTTCCCTTCTCTTCTCTTCCCTCCCCCTCCACTTTTATGAAGATTACCCGCTCTGAAACCCCACAGCTAATTCTCCCCTGGCCTCTTCGCTGGCCCAAGTAGGACCAATTCAGCCAGCTAGCCCTGGTGATTATCTAATGCTTATTTACCCTAAGTTGATTTTTGAATTTTATTGTTATTCATGTTTTTATACTGTATTTTATGCTGCTTTTACAATTAATAGTTTTAAATTTGTTGTTAGCTGCCCTGAGCCCGGTTTTTGAACAGGGAAGGGTGGGGTATAAATAAATTATTATTATTATTATTATTAGTGTTTTGTTAGGGGTCGCAATATGGATGGAGACAGATTGGTATTTTAAAACCATCCAAAGATCTCAATTCCTCCTGTTTGATAGCTTCACACTCTTCCTTTCAAAAATGTTGCAACCTTCTATAGTTGTTTCCTGGGTGAGGAGAGAGGAGTGGAGGCTTATGATGATAACACCTGTTATCTTTTCCTTTTCCGGGCTACAAATCTAACTGTATTCTGCTCCCACCCAAGCATGTGGGTTGTGTTATAGCAAGTAGACACTAGCCATGAAAAGCAACCATTACTTGCACTTTCCAGCTATTTGGGGCTGCTGATGAAAATTAATTCTATCCCATGGTTTATTATCTCAATGGATGTAATTCCAAAGTCTTTGGTCTGTGTTTAGTTCAAATGTAAGAAGAGTCTGTTGGATTGTGCCAACGGCCCAGTTTACACAACATTATCCTTCAAGTAGGGTCAGGTGGGATAGATTCAGGGGTCCTCATCTCAGACAAATGCATATGCAAGTTAAAAAAGACCCAACCCTCTAGATATGTAAATTGTTTATTCTGTTATTGTGTGTGAGCAACCTTGCATACCTCCAGTCAACAGAGGGCAGGGTTGAGACTAACACACCGTCAGGGAAAATGCACTTCATGGTCTCTTCCCCATACTCCACCTCAGCATATAAGGCTCCAAGGAGGCCTCGGGACATTGCTGCTGCCGCTCTGCTGTGAGTTTGTGGGGAGGGCTCTTCCCCCTGCAAGCCCACTCCACCAGGCCAGGGGGCGGGGCCCACACTCACCACCGCCACAACTTTAAGGACACTGGTGCTGCAGCAGCAAATGTTTAAAATGTTTTTATATATTTTAAAGTGTTCTAAAAGTGTTTTTACTTTTTACTTTGTTGTACCACCATAAACGGTGGTTTTTATCCATGTATTTTTATTTTGTTTTGTTTTATTTTGGGTTGGGGTGGGATGGTTGTTGAGTGGGGTGGGGATTGGTTTTGTTTTGGTGTAATTGTTTTTTGTTTGCTTGTTTGCTTTTATATTTTGTAAATGGAGGCGAGTATGAGGCTTGGGATTCCTACTGTGGAGGGGCGAGGGAGGTATGGCGGTGGGGGCAGATGTCATAGGCGAAGGGGATCGAGATACGGATATGCTCGTACCCCTTCCAATCTGCGCCCCATCCCAAGAGATGAGGGTAGGGTGAGCAAGGATTACTCACCTCCGTCACTGGTGCTGTGCAATGCCAGGTCTATAGGCAACAAAACCGCCACCCTGCGAGATTTCTTCATCTCGCAGGGGGTCGACCTGGCTTGTGTGACAGAGACCTGGGTGCGTGAAGGGGATTCTGTTACCTTACAAGAGATGGCGCCCCCGGGTTTCTCCGTCCTCCACCAGTCACGGACTGTGGGCCGGGGGGGAGGGGTGGCATTATTAATCCGGGAAGATTGTTCTTTCAGGGCTCTACCATCGCCATCGATCCCCGGCATTGAATGTGTTGGCCTAGTGTGGGGCTCCGAGGAGAGCTTGGCTGTCTGGCTGGTGTACCGGCCACCTAGCGCACCAGCAGCCACCCTGTCAGGCCTGCTGGAGGCGGTGGCCGGCTGGGCCTTGGAGTTCCCTAACCTATTGGTATTGGGGGACTTCAACATCCATGCTGATGCCACTCCCTCCTCACAGGCTCTGGACCTGGTGTCTTCCATGGCGACACTAGGGCTCTCCCAGTTTGTTTCGGGCCCCACACACCAAGCAGGCCACATGCTGGATTTGATCTTTGGCGTCGGTATAGATGTGATCATGTTTCCTTCGATGAAGGTGCCATGGTCTGATCACTACGCTCTGAAAGCCAGGATTGACGTTCCACCCCCACCCTGCTTAGGTGGCGAGCCGATTTGGGCTCGCCCGCAGAGGCTGATGGACCCTGATAGATTCTGTCAAGCCTTGCGGGACCTTTCTCCCCCTGGCGACTCATTGACTGAGCTTGTTGAGGGCTGGAATACCCAGCTCCTGGCAGCCATCAATGAGATCGCACCTAAGCGCCCTCTGCGGCCCCGCAGAAACCGGGCTCCCTGGTTTACCGAGGAGCTCCGGAAAATGAAGCGGGACCTCAGACGGCTAGAGCGAGTATGGCGGGGTGCCCGTGACGGAGCCTCAAGAACATCTTATAGGGCTTTTATGAAAAGCTACGAGATGGCAGTGAAGGCCGTTAAGAGGTCCTACTTCTCGGCCTCCATTGCATCCGCTAGCTCTCGCCCGGCGCAATTATTTAGTATAATTCGGTCTTTAACGTCCCTCGAAGGACAGCCAAATTTAAATAACAATTTGACACACAGCTGTGAGGCATTTGTGAGCTTTTTTGCGGAGAAGGTCCTGTTGCTCCGCCATGACCTCCCTGCCAATTTGGATACAATAAAGAAACTGGAGGCCCCTCGACTGTCCTCGGGTCCAGTATTGGACCACTTTGACCGGATATCCCCAGCCGATGTGGACAGACTCCTCCGATCTGGAAAGCCCACCACTTGTCCTCTAGACCCGTGCCCGTCCTGGCTGATTAGAGCATGTCCAGACGAGGTACAGGCCCCCCTGGGGGATATCATCAATTTGTCCCTTGGCACCGGTACATTCCCAGGGGAACTGAAGGAGGCAGTGGTGCGCCCGCTTTTAAAGAAAACATCATTAGATCCCTTAGATCTATCCAATTACCGCCCGGTTTCAAATCTTCCATTCCTGGGTAAGGTGATTGAGACAGCAGTTGCTGAACAGCTTGGTAGGTTTCTGGATGAAACATCGGCTCTGGATCCATTCCAGTCTGGCTTCCGCGCTGGTCATGGGACCGAGACGGCTCTGGTCGCCCTAACAGATGATCTCCGCAGGCAGCTGGATCGAAGCGGGTCGGGGCTGCTGATTCTTCTAGACCTGTCAGCAGCCTTCGACATGGTCGATCACGAACTCCTGGACCACCGCCTTGCCGACGTGGGGATCCAGGGCACAGTCCTTCAATGGCTGCGCTCGTTTCTCTCTGGTCGGGGACAGAGGGTGGCGCTTGGGGGGGAATTGTCATCCCGCCACTCCTTGGTGTGTGGAGTGCCCCAGGGTGCGATACTCTCCCCGATGCTTTTTTAACATCTTTATGCGCCCCCTCACCCAGCTTGTCCGGAGTTTTGGGCTGGGCTGCCATCAGTATGCTGATGACACCCAACTCTATCTGTTGATGGATGGCCATCCTGACTCGGCCCCAGACACACTGATCAGATGCTTGGAAGCTGTGGCTGGATGGTTACGTGGGAGCCGGTTGAAGTTAAATCCTTCGAAGACAGAGGTCCTCTGGCTGGGACGGGACGATATGGGATTGAGGGGCAACTCCCATCTCTTGCGGGGTGCAATTAGTGCCAGCACCGTCCGTTAAGAGTTTGGGTGCAATCTTCGATACCTCCCTCTCCATGGAGGCGCAGATTGCAGCTATAACAAAGGCGGCATTTTTTCATCTCCGCCAAGCTAAGCAGTTGGCTCCTTACCTCTCTCGCCCTGACCTAGCCACTGTGATCCATGAGACAGTCACCTCCAGACTGGATTATTGTAACTCGCTCTACGTGGGGCAGCCCTTGAGACTGACCCAGAAACTCCAGCGGGTGCAGAATGTCACAGCGAGACTCCTTACGGGGTCTTCGCTGTGAGATCACATTCATCCGGTGCTATACCAGCTGCACTGGCTCCCGGTGGAGTACAGGATCAGGTTTAAGGTGCTGGTTTTAACCTTCAAAGCCCTATACGGCCTAGGACCCTCGTAACTACTGGACCGCCTCTCCTGGTATGCCCCACAGAGGAACTTATGGTCTTCAAATAAGAACATCTTGAAGGTCCCAGGCCACAGAGAGGTTAGGCTGGCCTCAACTAGAGCCAGGGCTTTTTCAGCTGCGGCTCCAACCTGGTGGAACGCTCTGTCACAAGAGACAAGGGCCCTGCAGGACTTGACATCTTTCCGCAGGGCCTGCAAGACAGAGCTGTTCCACCAGGCCTTTGGTCAGGGCACAGCCTGACTCCCTCCTTTGGCAATCTTTACAAAACTTTAGTTTATGGTTGCCATCAATTTTGATTTTAATTAATTTTTATAATGTTTTTATAATGTTGCACTATTTTAGTGTTGTTAGCCGCCCTGAGCCCGGCTTCGGCTGGGGAGGGCGGGATATAAATAAAATTTATTATTATTATTATTATTATTATTATTATTATTATTCCCAAAGTCCCAGGCTCCACCCCTTCATCTTCCTGCAAAAGGAACAGAGCCAGGAGGAGGGAGGTGAAATCAGAGCCTCAATGAATATCTGAACAGGAGGAAGGGACCAGTGATCAGGAGAGTCAGGAGCTGGATCCTGGGAAAGGTTCGAACAGGGGTGTCCCAACCACATTTCTGCTTGGCAAAAATAATGATCTTGCCGCTCCTTCCTCCGCACACTGTTTTGGGGGTTCTCGCAACCCTTTAGAACAGATTCGGGGAGGGTGCAATGGTGCATGAGGAGGAGAGGGCAACTCCTGTGGTGCTAGTAGGAATCTTTCCTGTGGCTTCTGCTAGAATGACTTAGTTGAATACGGAGGATACACCTGTCTCAGACTACCTTCATCAGGCAAAATTGTGTCCCTCGAGGAAATGGTCTTAAACTCAACAAAATACTAGAAGAAATAATAGCCCCTCCCCTCCAAATACCTTTCCAATAGGTCAAGGCTCAGCAGAGTCACTATGTTATCTAAACCTCTCCCCTCCTTTGTTCTTCAGATTCTCTCCTTTTTGAGGAACATCCGATTTAACAACAGTGCCGGAGATGAAGTATCTTTCATGGACAACAGTGTGGTGGGATCTTCTGGCTATGATCTTCTCAACTGGATCTATTTCCGAAACGAGTCAACAGCTTTAGTGAAAGTTGGGAGGATGGATCCAGGAGCCCCACGGGGCAAAGACTTCATCATTAACCCAGATACAATTGTGTGGTCTAGGAAGGTGGAGTGAATGTCCCAGAGCTTGTGAAAGAATTAGAGCATGATGGACCTGAATGCCCGTCAGCTCCAACCCACATGGCCAATGGTTAGGGATGATGGGAGATGTAATCTGGGAATATTTTGGCGGGTGGGGGAAGGCACAGGTTCCCCAACCTTGCTCCATGCAGTGGTTGAAAATAGCTTTGACCCTCTTACCTACATTTATCACCATTTCCAGCATGCAAAGAGGGGGCCACCTTTGAAGACCTCCAAGTCCTGCTTAAAACAATTCTATCCATGCAGAAAACCTTTCATTATATTTGCCTTTCTTAGACCCCACCCTCTGCAAGCTGTGCAAAGATCTGCTCTCCAGGGCAAAGGAGAAAAATTCCAGAAGGGAAGCCGGTTTGCTGTAATGTGTGCATTCGCTGTCCAGAAGGGACTTTTTCTAACCAGACAGGTAGTTCCAACCTTCAACCTTATTCTATAGGGCAGAAGTTGCATGTATCCAGGGAGGGTTAAGGTAGGGTTACCAGATGTCCCCGGTTCCCGGGGACCACCCCCGGATTTGCAAATCTGTCCCCGGACAAATTCCATCCCTGGAAATGTCCCCAGATTTGCAAATCTGTCCTCGGGAAACATGGCAGTGGCAGCCTCAGCAGCCCGGAGCCAGCCTGGTAGCGCAGTTGGCTCTGGCTGGCTTCAGGAGCTGCTCGCTGCCGTGGCGCCCACCACTTTTCCTCACCAGAAGTCCCCATATGATGTGTCTTATGCGCAACATATCATATGGGGACTTCTGGCGAGGAAAAATGGTGGGCGCCACAGCACGAGCAGCTCCTGAAGCCAGCCATAGCCAACTGCGCTACCAAGCTGGCTTCGGGCTGCTGACTGCCACTTCTGCCGCCACTGCCGAAGGGGAACCGGGGGCGTCCGGCAGTACAGATCTCCTGCTCCCTTCCCCCTTTGTTTTGACTGATTGGGGGAGGCTTGGGAGTTGTGGGCAGCCGGCCGTTGCCCAGTTTTTAAAAAGCTCTGCACATTTATGTTTCACAGGGTGTGAAAGAAGGGCTTTGCACCTTGCCTGGCAGAGAAACGGTGCACGTTGCGCCCCTCCTGGGCAACGGCCGCCCACCCATGACTTCCAAGCCTCCCCCGGTCTGTCAAAACAAAGGGAGAAGGGGGCATTTATGTTTCACAGGGTGCGAAAGAAGGGCTTCGCACCTTTACACAATATGCATGTGCGCTTGGGCCCAGGGTCTTTTGCCTCACCATCCCCACTACTGACTCCCTGTTGCTATTCAGCTTAAAAATAAAAATAAAAAATGTCCCCGGATTCATTGGAAAAAATCAGGTGACCATAATAGGCAAGTGCAGACTTCTTTCATTATGTCCTTTTACTGCTTAGCCCTGCTGGCCTCCACATCCCCCTGAATTTCACTGTAACTAGAAGAATTTCCAAAACATATTCCAGAATTGCAACGTGTAGGATTTGCTATAGTTCTAAGTAACTTTGCAGTTCTAAGTTTCTTTGCAGCTTGCTTCTCTGTCTCAAAAAATGTGTTTTGTAACTTTTAAGATTATGATCTTTTGCAATAAAAGGTCAAAATAGAGCAGAATCTCAGAGATTTTGAGCAATAAGAAGGAGAATAGGGCAGGCCAACACACAAGAATATTTATAACTAGGTTCTACACCTCTGATTTCTTCTCCTGCCATCCCCACCTACCATGTACACCAGCCTGGTGTGTGTGTGTGTGTGTGTGTGTGTGTGTGTGAAAATAAAGCTATATTAGAGATACTCAAATAGTGCTTCCTAATTCCAGATGCTGCTAACTGTGCCCAGTGCCCAAAAGATCAATACCCAAGCAAGGACCAAGACCAGTGTATTGCCAAGAAAATCAACTTCCTTTCGTATCATGAGGCTTTGGGATTTGTTTTAGCTTCTCTGGCTCTTTTCCTCTCTCTAATCACCTCTCTAATCCTGGTAACCTTCATTAAAAACAAGGACACCCCAATTGTCAGAGCCAATAACCGCAACCTCACTTACATCCTCCTTGTCTCCCTCCTGCTCTGCTTCCTCTGCTCCTTCCTCTTCATCGGTCGACCCCAAAAAGTCACCTGTCTTCTCCGGCAAATGGCTTTTGGAATCACCTTCTCTGTTGCCATTTCTTCCATTTTGGCAAAAACCGTCACGGTAGTTCTGGCCTTCATGGCCACCAAGCCAGGAAACGTGGCCAGAAAACTCTTGAAGACACATTTAGCAAGCACCATTGTCCTGGTCTGTTCCCTCATTCAAGCAGTTATCTGTGCCATCTGGCTGGCAACCTCTCCCCCATTCCCAAACCTGGATTTCTACTCCATGGCTGTGGGGGTTGTAGTGGAATGCAACGAAGGCTCCGTCACCATGTTTTACTCTGTCCTGAGTTACATGGGTTTCCTGGCCCTCATCAGTTTCACAGTAGCCTTCCTAGCTAGGAAGTTGCCTGACAGCTTTAACGAAGCCAAATTTATCACCTTCAGCATGCTGGTCTTTTGCAGTGTTTGGGTGTCCTTTGTGCCCACCTACCTGAGCACCAAAGGGAAGTTCATGGTGGCTGTGGAGATCTTCTCCATCTTGGCCTCTGGTGCTGGTCTCTTGGGTTGCATCTTTCTCCCCAAATGCTACATTATTCTCCTGAGACCCAACCTCAACAGCAGAGAGCATCTAATAAGAAAGAAATATCAAGGAGCTTAAGAAACTAAATAACTCATAACTTCCTATACAAAGAAGCTGGTTGAATTATTCTTTAGCTAATGTGATCAGGTTTAACTACTAGACTTTTACAAGACATCTGAAGGCAGCTCTGTTTAGGGAAGCTTTTAATGTTTAATAGACTATTGTATTTTAATATTCTGTTGAAAGCCGCCCAGAGTAGCTGGGGAAACCCAGCCAGATGGGTGGGGTATAAATAAATTATTATTATTATTATTATTATTATTATTATTATTATTCCTGAAAAATCTTGCAAATCTTGTGTATTGTTTCTGATTCTTTTTGTTTTGTTCATTCAATAAACATAGTGAAAGAAAGAAAATTGGTTTTGTAGTCCTATATATGTTTTGAACCAAAGATGAATCAGCAGAATTCTAAACCAAAAGCTCCATCCTTGGGAACTTGATCCTTGGGCAGATTACATTTCCAGCAGCTATCTTGCAGATGTAGCTATAACCTGCCACTGTTTTGTTTCCCTTTAAATATCAGATCAACACTGGGGCCTAAACTAGTTTGAGAACCTGATTGGTGGGTAATGGGACTTTAACCCCTTGTTCTTTGCTGCAACTGCAGGGATGGTGTCACGTACAGATAATCAATAATCTCACGACTGGGAAAAACCAACACCACTATGCTCTCAGAGGAGCTTCCAGAGATGGCATGCCCTTGGCCTTTTAGGGGTAGCCTGCAACCAGGGGTGGTCAGCCTGTAGTCCTGTGTACACATCAGCCCCCAGTTAATTGCATGCAGCCCTTTGTTGTTGTTTATAAGTCGTTTAGTTGTGTCCGACTCTTCGTGACCCCATGGACCAGAGCATGCCAGGCACTCCTGTCTTCCACTGCCTCCTGCAGTTTGGTCAGACTCGTGTTTGTAGCTTCGAGAACACTGTCCAACCATCTCGTCCTCTGTCGTCCCCTTCTCCTTGTGCCCTCCATCTTCCCCAGCATCAGGGTCTTTTCCAGGGAGTCTTCTCTTCTCATGAGGTGGCCAAAGTATTGGAGCCTCAGCTTCAGGATCTGTCCTTCCAGTGAGCACTCAGGGCTGATTTCCTTAAGAATGGAGAGGTTTGATCTTCTTGCAGTCCACGGGACTCTCAAGAGTTTCCTCCAACACCATAATTCAAAAGCATCAATTCTTCGGCGATCAGCCTTCTTTATGGTCCAGCTCTCACTTCCAAAAATCACTACTGGGAAAACCATTTCTTTAACTATACGGACCTTTGTTGGCAAGGTGATGTCTCTGCTTTTTAAGATGCTGCCAAGTTTGCTGCCCTTAGCCTGAGTTTAAAAGCCCCCTACAGGTGACAGCATATTTATTTTTTATTTTTTAAATTTCTATACCACTTTATATTTTTATTAAAAATCTGGAAGCAGTTTACAGCAAATAAAAACAATAAAACAATAGCCGGGTGATGTTCCTCCGGTGTCAGTAGGAGCCTCTTCAGTAGGCCTGGTGAGTCTGGGCCTCGCCCCCTAGGCATACTGGCTAGTGAGGAAGAGGGAGAAGGAGAAAGGAGGGGGGAAGAAAGTGAAAATGAAGAGGAGTGACTCAACTGTTTTTCTATCTGCCCACTGCTAGCCTCAGCCCTCATCCACCACCCAAGGCGTACCTAGACTCCCTTGCACGCTTGCCAAGGAGACGTATCGGCACCCACTGTCCCTTGCACCCTTAGGAGAGGAGCCTGTGTGCCTTGTCTGGCCAACCAGAGCAGCAGAGATGCTGTGGGGATCACATAAGCACCAAGCCGCTCCAAGCCAGAGACATGATTTTTGCACCTTCTAGAGCCTTGTCAAGGGCCAACATGGCCAGTTCTTAGGTATGCCCCTTCCCATCACTGCCTAGAGACTCGACAACCTCCTTGTTCTCCCCAGACATCTCAGATACTTCTCTGATCCCCAGTTCAGCCCTGGGTTGAGAGGAAAAGAGAACTGCGCTGAACCAAAGGTGAATTGTTCCGGAAGCTCTGCAAACACCATATTGGTACTCAAGATTCCCCCCCCCCCCATTAATTGGTAGTGGTTGTAGCACTGAGCTCATATGTGTTTATAGTCACTTGCTTTGAAACATACTAATTGTCTTCCTTTGATGTCACCCTTATCTGAAGGTTTGGGGTGCTGAGCTCTGAGACCAGAAAGGGAAACTGTAATGTTTGGGTGTTTGCCAACTTCACCCTCCTGGTCAGGTGGCTGGCGTATGCTGCTTTGACCTTTAGCTTGCGTGTGGAACTTCTTGCTTGCGGTGTCCATCCCGCACAAGTGAGTGCGAGGAGGAACTGGCAGGCTGCATCTCTGTAAACCTATAATTTTCTTAATAAAGGCACTAGAACTGATCACTCTGGAGTTTTTGACATCCTTCTTTGGAATTCCTGCATCTCACGACTCACACAAGCTCTCCTCTGGCTCTGCGGTTTGCAACAAGAGCAAGAAAGGGTGGTCCGTTCACTTCTGGCTCTGCCCCTGGCCACGACTGACTTCAGCATGGCTTAGAGCTGACAGGTGGAGCATCCCTAAAGGGAATGGAGCTCTCTGCTGGAAAATTGGTTCCCCATCGTGGGATATGTGGGAGACAACTCCACTGGGGGTTCATTAATAAGGTTCACACCAAATTCCCAACTGGTCAGACTTTATTCAGTAATGCATCACATGACATACTGTAGTACAAAATACTCTGTGGCTGCATATCTATGAACACACACCCTATATAGGATATATGTGCCATCTTCTGCCACATTCTATTATCCCAGCACCTCACCATCTTTTCACCCAGCCACAGTCCTTGAAAACAGTTACTCAACCCGAGATTTTCTTACTGTATGTGCAGAAGCTCACCTTTTACCCTGATGGCTAGTTGTTTTTATTATAATATACACTCGGGTTCCTCCTAAAGTGGTGCCTACCAATTTTGGCATCAGGCCATACTCTTGCATTCATATCAATATTGGCCTTATTTCTGAATCACAGAATTGTGAAATCAATAAAGAATTCCTCAGTTACCACCTTCAGAATATTCCCTTTTCCAGATCCCTTCACAAGGGCTTCTCCATCTCCCTCTCCTCTTTGCCAGGGGTCAAATGTGTATCTCTCTTGGTCCACTTGCAAGGGTTTGTGAGCTACACAGTGTATCCTTGGCCCCGCCCTCCATGGTGCAGCCTTCTTCCCCAGCTGCTATTTGCAGATTAAATATCTATCCATGTATTTATTTAAAAGTTGTCCCCTGCCTTACATGTGTCAGAGGGCCTGCCAGGTGTGCTCTGGGTTGGATTCCCCACTGTTGGGCCCAGAACTGTTCTGCCATGTTAAAAAAAGAAGAGGTCAGGAGACAGTTAGGGTCAGCCCAGACAAAGGGTGAGAAAATCCCTCCACTCCTCAAACAGCAGCAGCAACTCCAGCCAGAGTCAAAAAGAGCTCAGGCTGGAGACAGAAAGAAGGAGGAACAATAGTGGAAAGGATGGACCCAGATCTATACACACACAAGAAGAAAACAAAGAGAATTAGTATAGAAACAAGAAGTAAGGATTTAAGACGGAGAGGCAAGGAGCTGGGAGACCTCATTTGTTTCTGCTTTTGCTGTATCAGGGAATAAGATATTGTTAAGTATACGAGGTGGAATTGAAAACTAGACAGCTGAGGGAGAAGGGGAAAGAGAGAAGAAGAAATTAAATTGTAAAATGTGAAAATTAAGATTGATATAAGGTTTGAAATGTTAGTTGGAATATAAATTTGTAATATAAAGCAATAAACAGGGGAAAGTAGGACACATCTAGGAAGAAAAGTGGGAAGTCAGCTTATTTGGGGGAAATAATAATAATAATAATAATAATAATAATAATAATAATAATATCTTTATTGTCATTGCCCCCTTCGGGGACAACGAAATTAATTGACTGCTCCATAAAAACACTAATTAATCAATACAGTATAATACAGCAAGGGAGATTAGATGACTTTCAAAGTCCGGGCTTCCCATTCAGGGCCGAGATCGCTCTGGAGAAGAAGCTGTTCTTAAGACGGCTCGTTCTTGTCTTCATCGTCCTGTATCTCCGTCGGGACGGCAAGAGCTCGAAGAGACAGTGACCAGGATGCGATGGATCTTTTACTATGTCCAGTGCCTTCCTATGGCACCTTGTGGCATAAATCTGCTCTAAGGTGGAGAGTGGGCAGCCAACAATGCTCTCTGCTGCCTTAACAACCCTGCACAACCCCATCCTGTCCTGGGTAGTACAGCTTCCGTACCACACACATAAGCCATAAGTGAGCACGCTCTCAATGGCACAGTGATAGAAGGCAAGCAGCAGTTTCTGCAGAAGATGGTTTTTCCTTAGTATTCTCAAAAAGTACAGTCTCTGCTGCGCCTTCTTCACAAGCCCCCTTTTGTTGACACTCCAGGACAGATCCTCTTGTAATTCAATGCCCAAAAATCTGAACGTTGTTACCCTCTCCACACAGACCCCATCAATCAAAAGTGCCTGGACGTTGCTCTTCTGTCTCCTGAAGTCCACCACAAGCTCCTTTGTCTTCCTTGTATTTATGAGCAAGTTGTTAGCTCTGCACCACTCTGTCAGCCGCTCTACCTCATCTCTATAATCCGTTTCACCCTCCCTTTCAGGGATGAGCCCAATCACGGTTGTGTCATCTGCAAATTTGACAACCCTATTACTAGGGTGAGTAGCGACACAATCATACGTGTAGAGAATATAAAGGAGCGGACTGAGTACGCATCCCTGTGGTGTTCCTGTGTTAGTCTTGAGCATATTAGAGGTATAAGGGCCCAACCGAACCCTCTGGGGGCGGTCTGACAAAAAGTCCAATATCCACCTACAAAGTGATAACTGAAGCCCCAGATCTTCCAGTTTAGACATCAGACGTTGTGGTAGAATGGTATTAAATGCCGAGCTGAAATCTAAAAAAAGCAGTCTGGCATAACCCCCCCGCTGCTCCAAATGTGCAAGGACGGCAGTGGCTTTGACACCACAGAGAGAGCACTTCTCATATTGTAGGCTTGGGTCTGTGAACAGGGTGAAGAGAGAGGGATATGGTTGTGCAGGATGAAACGTTCAGCATAACACACTCTTACATTCAACCAACAT